TGTGTAAAATTATTTCTAATGATCTGTGTTTCCACAGGAGAACATTTGTAACCACCAGGTTTCTCTCTCTTTTATTTTTTAGAGGCATCTGTGCAGCTAAATTAAGTAAGAAGTGCAAGAAGGGCAGTATAGTCCACTGCACATTCTAGAGGATGACCATCTGTCCGTGGGACAGCATTTAGAGGAAAAAGATTTTATAGTCTGATGAAAGAAAAACTGATCTCCACGCACTAAGTGAGGGTGAACACTACACACTGAATGCCTCAAATAAACCAGAATGGTGGCAGCATTCATTTATGGAAGTGCTTCTTAGGAAGAACTGACTAATCGATAAATGCAGGTGGATGCAGAGAGATCCTTGAACAGACACTAGAATGATAATTCACATATCATCATTGCAATGACCCAAAGCACAGAGCACAGGGTATTCTGGAGTAGGTTCAGGAGAATTCACAACCCAGACTAAAACCTCTTGGAAATTTTAGGGAAGGACCTCAGGATGGATGGTTGTAATTCTTAGTCATTTTTTCTACGCCTCTTAGAAAAAATTCTTAGGCATAGACACACACTCACCCGTGTGTGTGAATTAGTGAATGAGGCTTTTAGCAAGAAGTTTTAGTAGAAAAGTGCTATTTAAGTATGAATCCAATAACCAGAAGATATCAGTTCTCAGGTGCTTCAATTATGAAATATCTGTCCAAATCCAGACGCCTGCAGTTATATGACTCACACCAAATCTAACAAAAAAGGAAAGTCTGCTAAATAGGACTGTACTGAAATGTACACTGTATATTGTACTCTGTATACTGAGTTTTTCAGCAGAATAATAGAATTTTCTTTTTAACTTTTTTAAAATGCAATTTACAACAAGAAATCTGCAAAAAGTGACGTGACCTTCCTCATTTCTAAATCCATTTGATGGTAAACATGTTTTAGAGCAGTAGAAAATAACAACTGTATTTTCGATCTCTCCCAACCAACAAGACATACTACACTGATGTAGTGTGTCCCTTTTGTAATAATCACACATTGATTGATTACTTCCACCAAGAGGCCGCTGACCTGACACGGCATCATAGAAGTCATCTTCATTGAGAGTACTAAGGTTGGAGGACTTCCGCCTTTTACTTAAGGATTGCTTGAGCTCGTGGTTCTCAGTTGCCAAAGTCTGCAAGGCTTCTGTTAGAGCTTTGTTCTTCTCCACTTCTTGCTCTACTTTCAGGCTCCACACCTACAAACACAGGACAACCAGACAGAAGGTTAAGCGACCGAAGAGAGCGTGCCCCGAGCGACTAACTTAACATTTTATTACAGAAAACCATTGCTCATATGCTTAAATATGTGATGATCATAGTGGAACAAGCAGATTAATATTTTGATGTCAATCAAACATCACTCTCTGTCTGGGGTTTTGATCGCAGGTCATTGTTTTAACCCTGCCCACAGATCTAGTTTCTTCCAGGCTGAACCAAACACCATAGTCTCAGAGAGCTCCGAAGCCCAGGATTGAGTGTCCCTTCAAAGGAACCTGAGCCAGGCCACTGCGTGACAGCCCAGATTAGTCTGTCCTATTGTCCACTGCTGCTGATGTTCAAGCTCTACCAACAGGAGTCGAAAACCAAGCAAATATCCACAGCCTCTAACAAACTGACAAAAATAACACTAAAGCTTTAACAGCAACATATTATTTAAAAACAGGTAACACCTTTTACTTCATTGTAAATTCAGTTTAGTAAATTATTGCAAAATAAAAAAACTGAGCGCAGCCTTCCCAGTTTGACAAACGTCCAGTGTCACCTTGAAGAAGGCAGCTGAGAAACAGGAGCTTGCAAATCACACTGCAAATCTGAGACTGGACAGCGAGGTCGGTATCTTCGCCTAAAGATGAAAAGTTCTGTGTCATCTCTTATAGTGCCCGATGTGTTACAAGGTGAGCACACAGACATGCACAAAGACACAGCTACTGATGCCTAGATAGCAATTTATGACTGTAATCGTGTATGTGTGGTTAACCCATTTCCCTTTGATCGAGTGTATTAGTCCCTGCTAGGATGTTGTCTGATTAACAACACGAATAAAAAAATGTAACATTTAGAAGATTTAGATGAGTGATTTTGCGTCAGACATCAGATTCTCATGATGTCTAATATTTCCTTTAAAGGGATGATTGGAAGAAAACTAGTAACTTTTTGATTATTTTCAAAGAATCCTCTCAAAAACATCAGCTACTATACTTCATATATAAAATGATTATATGATTGAACACAAAGACTTAAATATAAACTGCTTCAGATGCCTTTGTGGTAGAGTCTGATCAAATCAGCCACATACACTTAACAGAAAAGAAGCAGGGAAAACCCAGACACATTTACTTACTTGCTGAATAGCATGCCTACTCCAAAGACCATGATCCAGCCATTTGTAATGAACATTGATTGTTTCCAATTGCCAAATGTTGGGTCAGCACAACTGGAACTGCAACTTCCAGCTGGGTTATTATGGAAATTGCAGGCTTTAAAAAGGCATCACTGAAATCCAGTCAAATCCCAATAAACTGTGTGTAAATCCAAAAAAAGTGACACGTTAAATGTTCAATTTGGAGATCTATGTATTCATTCAATATCTGATGAGTAACATCTTGATTTCAAGACACCTTGTTTATTCAAATTTATCATCCTCTGTCAAGTTATAGTCCAGGTTATCTATAATGACCATCTATAGATCTGTACCGATGCACTTTCTCTAGAAACATAAGAACTACAACATGTTCAACATCCTTTTTTGTCTTGGTAACATGACAGACACTTA